TGCCACAAATACTCGCCGGGCACTTGCTATGAGTAACATCAACGTTTCCACCATAAACACATCATCTATCAAAGACCTCACTATGAAACGCAGCCCCACACCTCTAACTTCTACAGCAGGCATCTACACTATCCCCTGTGGGTTTTGTCCCAAGAAATATGTAGGCGAGACAGGCAGAGATCTTGCAGACCGCTTGAATGAGCATCGAAATGCCTCTAACAGAGACGATGTAAGGTACGCCTGTGTCCTCCACAGAGACTCCACGGGGCATTTGATGAACTGGAATGAGGCACAACTCGTTCTCACCGAACCAGGCCTCAGACGCCGACGGTGCCTAGAAGCCTCACTAATCGCCGTCACCGACACTATAGAACGCAACACTGGAAACTACAAAATTTCAAAAACATTGGCATACATGATACTTAAGCAGCACCAACCCAACAACACAGGAGTCACGTGATTTCATCGTCTACCCGTCCTAATCATAGGCAGAGGTTGTTTTGATAAGGACCTGCCTCGCATGGGCTAGTAGGCCTTCTACAGTGTTCCTCCATTCTTATGTTCTTATGACATTCCTCAGGTCACGTGCGTCACACCTCACTCTCCGCCTATATATATAATGCCTTATGTGGAAGGCATTCAGGCTTAATTCGGGGAACTGGAGCACAGATCCAATTCCCTAAATCAAGAGCCCCTCACCAACATCAAGGAACCTTCCTTGAGGGGTACGAGCCCATTGGCACACAAAAAATCAGTGATAATTTAGTTGCCACTATTGAAACTACTCACAGATCAAGTGGAGAGGAAAAGACAATATAAACCTTCCATTATAAATGACACTAAAAACCAATATAAATACTATAATGATCCACAGCTATGCAGTCTAACGCATGCAGCAGCTAGGATTATTATTATTATTATTATAATCAAGGGGAAGCGCTAAACCCGTAGGATTATACAGCGCCTGGGGGGGGGATGTGGAAGGCATTCAGGCTTAATTCGGGGAACTGGAGCACAGATCCAATTCCCTAAATCAAGAGCCCCTCACCAACAACAAGGAACCTTCCCTGAGGGGCAGCAGCTAGGAGGATTGGTGAAGCATATCATGAATGTAGAACCCCAGACCTGCTCAGAACGTTCCAAGCTGCACTAACACATGCAAAGAATAGAAAGGAAGAGCTTAGGCAATAGGAATGGGAACAATTTGTTAGTGGATTAAATAGGTGTACCCCTTTAAATTTGGCTTGGAAAGGTATAAATAAAATAACTAGGAAAAAGACTGGCAATGTTGCTCATCCCTTTCCTCTTAGAAAAGCAAATGACCTCGTAAACGACTGGTCCAAAACATCCAGGCATGAAAACTTTCCACCTCGTATTAGAAGAGTGTGTTTCTGAGGAAATGTTGAAACTGATTAATTTTATGAGCCAAAATATTGATGAAAGTGATTGCCTCTTCACCGAGAGTGAATTACATAACGCATTAACTAAAGGTCGATTAACTGCTCCTGCAGAGGATGGCATAACCTATGATATTCTCATAACTCTAAGGCACATGCTTGATAATCCTTTGTTGGCACTGTATAATACTAGTTACATTGAGGAAGTTCTTCCTACTTCCTGGACCAATAGTTTCATTGTGCCTATCCCTAAGCCCCAACAGCCTGATACATTTAGACCGATCTCCTTAACCGGTTGTCTTTGTAAAACTTTTGAACGATACTTAACAGACTTAAGGTAAAACTTTTGAACGATACTTAACAGACTTGTAAAACTTTTGAACGATACTTAACAGACTGTACCACAGAATCAGACACCACCTTCCCCCTACCTCTATGGGTTCATGAAAGGTAAAAGTGTGCAGAACTGTATTTCCACCTTTCTCACTGCACACACCTCTACTAGTTTTACCACATTTCTTGATCTAAAATCTGCATTTAATATCATGAGCAAAACCATTATGTTACATGAACTAGCCAAAATGAATATTGGTGGTAGCCTACTCTGCTGGATAATAGGATACCTGTCAAATAGAGTATCCTCTGTACTGGTGTGGGTCGCATCCTGGGACACTGACCTAATTTGCCCGACATATGGAGCATAACAAGGGGCTTTCTATATAGTAATATGTCATTGTTGTCAGCTAGGACTGTATACCTTGTACATGTAGTAAATAAAGATATTATTATTATTATTATTATTATTATTATTATTATTATTATTATAGATACTTAAAAATCCGAGACAAAGGAATTAATGTACAATTGCTATGGATCCCATCACACATTGGATTACTCCTTCATGATAAAGTGATATGTTAGCCAAGAAGAGTACCCAGAAGGAGAATGTAGAATATAACTTTGGTATATGTGTCTAGTATTAGGAATAATATTAGGAGAAAAACAAATAATGACAATTATTGTTATAGGAATGCAGTTAGAAGCCTGAGTAGATCTATAACCCACTATGATAACATGAACATAGATAAATATGTTTATGGAGCAACGTGCAATGTGAACAGACTGACTGATGTTGTAGTGGCCAGGCTTAGGCTTGGTTACAAGTACTTCTGGCAATTTGGGAGACACACAGATGATGATCAACTAAATGCAAATTATATGATCAGGCATATGGTCACTGTCTTGAACACTATGCCCCCTCAGGGAAGGTTCCTTGATGTTGGTGAGGGGCTCTTGATTTAGGGAATTGGATCTGTGCTCCAGTTCCCCGAATTAAGCCTGAATGCCTTCCACATCCCCCCCCCAGGCGCTGTATAATCCTACGGTTTTTTAGCTCTTCCCCTTGATTATAATAATAATAATTGAACACTATGTGCTTAATTGTCCACTTATTGAATACAGAGATAGACAATATAATAACCTATGTGACATGTCAAGATATCTTATTAATGAAAATAAGATACCAGATATACTAAGTAAATTTCCTAAATTTGCTTGTAACAGATAAGTGAACTGTAGATATGTAGATATAAATCCATATGTACACCTGTTAACCCTTTCGGGGCCTAGCTCCTAGGTCTTTTGTGTATCTATATGCTCTTGTGCTACCGTCCAAGCGCTGTTTAGCCCTTGTGGTTTAGCGCTTTTTTTATTATAATAATAATGTGCTACTGTCCACAGGATGGATATGGGGTGCACAATAAACTAGCCACTTCAGTGGCAAAATCTAAAAATGTAATCTACACATATGCTGCTATGTATGATAATCTTTGTAACTGTATTTGTGTATACCTGAATAAACTTACTAACATTGTATCAATTGCATCTGCTAGAATGACAGTATGGATAATGTGAACCTTCAGAACTAGGGTTGCCAAGCCCATGATGACACTCTTTAGGTCGCTTGTTCTATCTAGGCTGGAATATTGCTGCACACTAACAGCACCTTTCAAGGCAGATGAAATTGCTGACCTAGAAAATGTAGACAACCTTCATGGCACATACAACTAAGATAAAATACCTCACTTACTGAGAATGCTTGAAGTTCCTCAACTTGTACTCCCTAGAATGCAGGCAGGAGAGATACATGATTACATGTATATACAGTTTGAAAATCCTAGAGGGATTAATACCAAACTTGCACACGAAAATCACTCCCTATGAAAGCAAAAGACTCGGCAGACAATGCAACATCCCCCAAATGAAAAACAGGGGTGCCACTAGCACAATAAGAGACAACACAATAAGTGTCAGGAGCCCAAGACTTCAACTGCCTCCCAGCATACATAAGGGGGATTACCAATAGACCCCTGGCTGTCTTCAAGAAGGCACTGGACAGGCACCTAAAGTCAGCACCTGACCAGCAGGGCTGTGGTTCGTATGTCGGGGTGCGTGTGGCCAACAGTAACAGCCTGGTTGATCAGGCCCTGATCCACCATGAGGCCTGGTCACAGACCAGGCCATGGGGGCGCTGACCCCCAAAACCCTCTCCAGGTATAAGAATTAAAGACTGCCGAAGATTCAGTGAGTTTCACATTATTGAAGAATTAAGACACATGCAGCATCTGGGTATTTTTATTTGTAGATGTTTTTGCCATCCAGTAGCTTTATCAATACAAATTCAAGGACATATGGAAGACCGCAGAACCATATACAGAAAAGTCAGACTCTTCAAGACTACGGTGCTCTTCAACTCCAAGGCTGAGGGATTTATTACTTTGTCTTTTGTATATAGTTCTGCGATCTTCCCATTATGTCCTTGAATTTGTATTGATAAAGCCACTGGTGAAACTTCTACAAATAAAGATACCCAGATGTTGCACATGTCCAATACTTTATCTTTTTGGCATTATATACCATTCATGTACAAGTTTCACACTGAATATTATTAATACCAGTTTATAAAAGGAAATCAAGTTATCAGACTTCCTTTACTGTCTGGAAGTGTTTTACCCTCAAGGGTGGCTCTTCTTGATCTAAGGAATTGGACCACTGCTGTAATTCCTAGAATCAAGCCTGAATGTCTTACATTCCCCCTGGGCACTTATGATCCTAAAGGGTTTAGTGCCTTTCCCATGAATAAAAAAATGGACAACTTCTAAAGTCACTACCATAAAATGTGACAAAATCTATTTTTCAATCCATGGTGGATAATAGCTGATAAGGTAACTGAATGGCCTACTTGCATTTTTTTTTTTAAACCAAGGCCACCAATAGAAAGAAGTCAATGACTTTTTTTTTTAGGTTATCCTAGGTAATTAAACAGTGTGTGATAACTGTACTTGTGTATACCTGTGCCTAAATACACTTACTGAACCAGACTGTTTTCCACCAAGGTAGGGTGTTCCCAAGAAGGAAACATTCACCATTGTTCATTCAGTAACTACCTTGCCAGAAGTGTGTAGATATACCAATTCAAATTACCCTCTGATTTGAGACATCCCCACCAAACTATACAGTACATAAATCTAACATCTGAAACTAAAGTTGTTAAGGTGGTTCAGGGAGATGGTCACATATTAAGCAGGATGAGAATAAGAAACCTTTCATTAGTAGCTTTACTTATTAATACATTATATACAAATAAGACAATTCACAGATGAACTTACAAAGTCTCAGAAATCTTCCATAGCAACAGTGATCTTACTTATTACAACAGACTAAATATTCATACAAAAATCTTGTACAGTACCATAATTATAAACAAAAAATACATAAACTAGCAATAGAAGGATTCAGCTACTAGTTAAGATTTAAAAGTATCACACCATACAAATAAATCTAATATAGATTATTTTCATATTTGTAAGTGGCAATCTACCAGTATTCGTAAAGAATTTCAGATTAGGAAGATTTAATCATTTTACTGAGTATCCCATACCTATTCTGCGGAGAGTAGTTGAAAGACTGTACATAATTGGTAGAGGAACTGGGTAAGCACATTAGTGGTGATGGGATGCAGTTTTTAAAATATGTGAAATTGGTATGTTTAGCTAGTACTGTATATTTTTCTAGGTCATTATGGATGACATTCTGAACAGTATTTGGACACTTACACATCTCTGAATAAACTGTACCTAAATTCTTTTGTTTTTCACATTCAAGTTTATATTCTGCAGGGTGAGAAAATAACTGCTGACGAAAGTTTACATTTAGTTATATCTACAACGGCAGGTAAAGAACTCACAGATATACTTACAGTATTTATAGGCTAGTCCCAGTCAAGTTATATGTTTTCAATGCTTTCACTATAAACAGTTGTATACATCCTTATCACTCTAACTGCTATTGTTACTAACTTGCTATTATCACTAATTTATGGCATATTACAGAAAACATCATCACAAAATAAGCAAAACAATCTGAAGTAAATTATTCACATTCCACAAATTATATTCATAGTGTGTTCCATTGGTCAGAAGTCACATCAAATTTAGGCAATGGGGAGAAATTCCCATTATTCACACTAAAAAAAGATGCTGGGCTCTTAGTGAAGCAGTCTGTGGAAAATGGCACACCACAATCACTTGACTTTTATTGGGTTATCCTAGGTAATTTACACTATGTATGATAATTGTAGTTATGTGTACCTGTGCCTAAATAAATTTACTTACACCTGATGAAGAACTGCACCTACTCACCAGGGTACAAACTATTTAAACTCCACCACCAAGGTCAGGGGGCTAAAATCAAGCACTGTACTGTAATAACATCCAAGTCTGTTAATTTGGTTGGCTAAACCCCAGATGTGTGGCTCTTCTCACAATATAGAATGATAGACTGAATGGTGTTTTTGCTCTTTTTCAGGTCTAAGGGCCTGTTGGAATTCTTGAATTCTTTGTACTGCACCAATATCCTTAGACTGTGGAGGAGAATGCCCCTTAAGTTTAGTCCGAGTAGGTTCAATCTGAAATTTTACCGAGTTCAAAAATTTGGAATTGGAATAAAAAAAATTCTGAAGAATGCCTTTTTTGACTGGCTTCAAACTTTTACTATTGATAGGCTTTATTAAAATATGACTTCACACTCACATTCGGCTGTGTAAATTTCAATTTATCAATTTTATTAAGAAAATTGTTTCCTATATAATAACAAGAGGATTGGCTTAGCGCTTCTTTTTTATTATAATAATAATAACAAGAGAATACCTCTTCTGATTGGCTTCAAACCTTTAATGCTCGTGTATTTGAATTAGAAGTATTTTTATATTAATTTTAGGTTGTGTAGGTACAAATTTGCTATTTTTTAGGTCGATTTTATCAAACTATTTTTTAAAACCATCTTGCAGGATTGTATAGAATTTTAAATAGTATGTAAATAAGAAAACTGGAAAAAATAAAAGTTTGCCTTTTTATGGCATTTTTTAAATTTAGCAGTGGGAGGCATTCCTATTTTTTAAGAAAAGTCTTGAGCAACATTTTGTGTTTACTTTCTCTAATTTTTTTTTTATTACTCAAGAATGCCTTCATGAACACTTCAAATTTTCAACACTTGTGTAATGTTCCTTGGGTAAGATTTGTGGGAGTGTTTGTATGTGTGGGTGCCCTATGCACAGTGTTACATAGGCCGCTCCCAAATTCGGTTTCCGTGCGATAAACTGGAGACTGGATCCTCTGATTGGTATCAGAATTTCAACACTTGTGTATCTGACTTAGGAGGAGGTTGGTATATTTAATAGTGTGTTGATGCCATTTTGTCACCTTTAACCTTGAAATTGTTTTAAATTATTGCATTATTTTGCCTTGATGCTGATGAAGGGCTCTTGATCCAAGAACCAGACTTGTCTTTCCTTTGCTTTGATTGCATTTGAATGTCTCATTGCACCAGGACTATATGAGTTTAGTTAGTTTAATATCTTTATTATGCACTCCATACCCATCCTTTGGGTGGTAGTCAAAAGATTCCAGAGGTACATGATAGGTCCAGGGACTGGATCCCAAAATTTTGATAGCTGAACAAATTACAAAGGTAATAAACTGTTACATGTTTATATATGACCACTACAGGTTTAGCACTGATTAAAATATAACAATTGTGAATGACATCAGTCTTCAGTGGCAGATGCAACATATGAAATGGAATGTTTCATGGATTTAGGCTGTGTAGGTACAAATTTTGTTGTATTCTGTGCAATAACTGGAAAATGCATCTTGTGGCAAGACTTAAACTTTGTGCTGATTCTTTGTATGAAATGTAAGGAACATTTCATGGGTTTAGGCTGTGTAGGTACAGATTTTGCTGAATTTTGTGTAATATATTGAAATACTACTTTTCATGTGATAATTTGAGTGTCAAAACTGATTAGATTCAAGCCTTCCATGGTGATAACTTAACAATGCAACTTCTGAACAGCTTCACACTTAATGTGCTTGTGTATTTTAGTACATATACAGGTAGGTCATCACTAATCTGGCAATCAGTTATCCGGTCCCATCAGTAATCCGGCACTAATTTCAGCTAGCATAATTTCAAATTTCATCATTATACTGACTTGGAAATTGTGCAGCCAGTTGTAAATCCACAGCAGCAAGCCAGTGGAGGAAAAAGCAGAAAAGCTCTCTACTGATAGGTTAATCAAGTGTATTCTAACCTAACTATTCTGTAATCTGGCAAACTCACTAATCCGGCACACTACAGGTCCCAATGATGCTGGATTAGTGATGGCCGACATGTACTGGTCTCTGGTCTCTCTGAAAAATTTCAATTAGATCTGGGCTTTGTACTGTATTTTACGGCATTAAAGATGCCATTTTTTCCCCAGAATAAGTCTCAAAAATTTACCCATTGTCTTTGAGGCTGAAGTACCATAGCGTCTTGTCCACCGTAAAATATGGTAGACCTAATTTATTATTTTTATGGAAGAAATTCGGATATTAGTTTCCAAATGACAACTTACAAATGCTTCTGATTCCCTTCCAATCTTCAACACTACTACTCAACTGCAGCATCAGCTTATGCTGCAGTCTACACTTTTTCAACTGTGTACGCTGAGACACAGGGCCCTGGAGTTGTACAATAATGGCATTACCTTTCCTAGATTGTGCAGTTTTCATCTATTTGAAAATGCTCTCACTTGTCATAAAAATTGTTGGAGTGCTTTTGCAGATTAAAGTAGGTTTTCCTGAGCATTTTGATGTCAATAAATTGACATGTGGATATTCAAGGACAATCCCCTTGGTTTCATTCTACATTTTTTGAAGCCATCCATCCATACACACACTGCTAGTAACAAGAGCAAACAGGGGTGCAGAATTAAGGTTTTCATGTATGCAACATACATTATTTTTACCACTGTCTTATTATTGGGGTGAAACAGATGTACAAATGCTTAAATGAATTTTAAGACTTGTATTTTTCCTGCCTAGAATAACTTTTTACACTCAGACTACATTCAATAATAAATAATTTAGAGGCAAATATGAAATTTGTGAGAGGTAGACCAACTGTACTTAACTCATGGAAGCACTATTGTTAGGATGAGTAATGGATTGCCCTTTTCAAATTCATATTTTCACTACAGTATAGCACCACATGGTGTTCCACTACCTTGTTTTTCAACTTCCATATTATTTCAGTGATTATCATCTTTACCCGCTAAAAGTTGTTACAATATCTGAATGTGAATCTACAGAGCAAACTCAACAAGGAAGAAAAGTTCCTAGAGAGAGAACATGGCATCAAAGATATATTGTAGGCGAAGAGATACGTGAAAACCGACAGCCTGTCAAAATATCATTACTTTAAACTTCTTCCTTAATATAAATACAATTTTCCTGATTTTCTACCTTTATGGCACCTTTAGGAATCATCTTGGAATCCAATGGATCATCATCATCAGAGACTGTTGAGTCAGGAACATAAGATTCGGTTTTTGCTTCCTCCCCAGAGCAATCAATCATCTCCACAGATGGACTTGACATCAATACCTCGCTGTCTGTCTGCTGGGACAACAGTTTCAATTCGCTTGGGGAACGCTGAATCCAGGGGGTGTGAAGTGTAAGATCATTCTTTTCAGGATGGAGTTTCATATGTCTTCCTAGACTAGTTTTTCGAGAAAATGATCTAAAACAATGTGAACACTGATGTGGCTTCTCTCCTGTATGACGAGTTCGATGAAGATCTAGAGAGATTTTTTGGGTGAATGATCTACCACATTCGAGACACTCGTATGGCTTTTCTCCCGTGTGGATTCTCATATGTTTTACTAAAACCTTTTTCTGAGGATAAGACTTATGGCATACTGAGCAAAGATATGGCTTCTCTCCTGTGTGAACTCTCATATGAAATACTAAGTTATTTTTATGGCGATAAGATCTGTGACATATTGAACACTGAAAAAGCTTTTCTCTTGAGTGAGTAGTCAAGTGGCTTGATAAAGTATTTTTCTGGCTGAATGCTTTACCACATTCTGTACACTGAAAAGGTTTCTCCCCAGTATGAACTCTTACATGCCGAACCAGATTACTATTTTTAATGAACGATTTACTGCATTCCGAACACTGAAATTCCTTTTTTTGTACATGAACTGGCATGTACTGGCCTAAATTACTTTCTTTTCTAAAAGATTTAATGCAATCTGAATATTGATATGGCTTCTTTTTTGCATGCATTTTGCAGGTTGTAAATTAAGTACACTATTTTTTCTCTCTGAAGAGGCAGTGATAGTGGTTTTTTTTTTTAAGCTAGTTTATGGGTACTGTGCAGTGCTGAGTGACCCATGTGGGTTCAGCACTTTTTTGTAAATATAATATTTCTGTAATACAGTATATATAATCATATTCCCACAGGTTTACTTTAAAACTCAAATGATGCTCAAAAATTCTCCCTTATGCCTGGTCACAGACCGGGCCGCGGGGGCGATGACCCCCGGAACTCTCTCCAGGTAAACTCCAGGTATGCAAGTGATATATCTTGTCTCATTCAGTTAGCATAAGTGACAAGCCCATGCATATGTTACCTCTTACACATGGCTCTGCTCCTTGCACTGTGAGTGGGCAATATGCCCCAGCTGGGAACCTAGTTCATACATCAGGAAAATTAATAATAAAATGACTAGTCTCTTAATCCTCTGCAGTAAAGTACTGCAACCAACTGTAACAAAATTTATAAATATTGTATATATACATATATATTTTTTTAATAACCTAAAAACATCTCTGGTTGGATAAAAAATAGTCTTGGAAATTATTTGCAACTAATGGTATTATTACTATTCACAAAATTTTGTTTTGTACTATATATATTGAAAATTATTTGAAACCAATGTATAATCATTAATATGTTTTAATTCAAGACCGACCTACAGCATCTGAAGTTTCCTCTCTAAGTGTGAGTCATTTGTGAAAACAGTCACATGCATTTAACTCTGCATCAGATGAAATCTAGAATATCCACTGTTATTCTACAGCTGCTTCATAGCATTACAAGTGACTTCATCCAAAGCTTTTGATCTACAATACAAAGAGTCTCGATCTAAACTCTTGTCTTTGCTTATACATCCCATGAAATATCATTGTGGTTGAAAAAGTAAGTGAGCACAATTGTTTCACTGGGTGCTGGTGTTGTAGGTGTACTGTACTGCTCTTCGGTGAGAGGAGCTGCAGTACAGGCACAACCATGGAGTACCACTAATGAAAGTAGAATTGTACAATTAGAAAGTTCTTCGGCACATTCAGTCAAGTAGAAAGTTGAATTCTTCACCTTGGCACATATCTGGCAACACACCCTAGTGAGGAATATACATGAAAGAAAACAAGGAAAATATTTTTAAATTAAAACTAAAGAATACTTATCACATAACTGCATTAACCTTAATGATGCTTCAACATATATAACATATAGTATATTAGAGGTCAGATGAACATACATAGGTCAAAACTGGGGTTGACAGCATTTGCCCAGGGCCAGTAAGCCTCCAACAGTAATCCCTAATTTAATTATATTATTTACTGGGACACATAATGAAATCTTAATAAAGCCAAGCTGATAATTTGCAAAAAAATGAGTCACACAGTCACATACGTACTTAGAAGCAGCCATGACAGGAGTCACAGACACGATACCACAAGTCAGGCCACCAGTGTATCAAAACCACCATCCAAACAACTGCCACCCTGCAGTGACACCACCATTAAAATATACCCAGTTACATCATGGAGCACTGTAGGAGATCCAAGCAGATATCAACTCCACCTCTATTATGCTAACCCCACTTTAACATATGTTCATCTGACCAATGTAGTATATATACTACTTATTATAGGTGAAATGTAATTGAAACAAAAATGCCACGTGGCAAAATATTTCCTTAGTAAATGTCCTGATCAGTGTAAATGTGTCTTGGCTAGAATTGCATATTACTTTACTCTGCTATATCATAAATAAAATTAGACATGAAAGCAGTGGCAAGGTTCCTTACCATGCACAGTTTAATGAGTAATATACTACTAAATGCAGGATGGTCTTCCTGTCATACTGCATCATTACATACCATGCATAAGTGGAAGTCTTGGATGTTCACCCCATTTATCCATATTTGCATCACAACGCACTGGCCAGCAGTCCTTTATCCCCAGTAATATTTAAGTCAATGGGATTGGTGATGGCAATATCACTAATGAGAGTGACAAGCCACAGAATGGTTTACTCTTCTACAAAACCTTCATTCCTGAGAATTTTAGAAGCATGATGAAGAATTAGCAACACAGCCTGGCAAAAACAACAAAAAATCTGAAGCATAAATTATTATTGTTAATTATTTATGGAGAAGAGCAGAACTTGTAGGGGTCATACAGCATCTGGAGAATGGGAGGTCATCAAGTTTGATCCAAGTAATGGGAGGGTAGCTCTAATGCTTTAGAGCTACCCTCCCATTACTTGGGAGGGTGCTCTTGATGCCCTACACTGCCATCAAAGCACCACCCCCATCCCTTGAAGGTCCTGAAACATGAAATATAAATAAATTAGACTCAAGAATCCATACCTTTCCTGAAGTACCTATTTGTCTATATGCTCTGTCATAAAACCAACATTCCTGCTTCATTATAAACCAATTTTACCCAGTACATATAAAAAGCATCCTAGAACACTATCTAACAAGTATTTGCAAGAAAGATATATACATGAACAACTCAGAAACTGGTTGCCTTAGAGGCAATATTGTATTAGATGAACATTTATATACCTCCCAAAGGAGGTTCCTTGATGCTGGGGAAGGGCTCTTGATCCAAGGAATTTCCTGTGGGTACATTCCCCAAAAATGAAATAGTAAATAATAATAACTAACAATAAATCAAAGAGCTAAACCCATAAGGGCTATACAGCACTGAAGCAAATCAGGTGTAATCATTAATCAGTACTAGTGCAAGTGTATAATCACTAATCAGTACTAATGCAGGTGTATAATCACTAATCAGTACTAGTGCATGTGTATAATTAATCAGTACTAGTGCAGGTGTATAATTATAAATCAGTACTAGTGCAGGTGTATATTCACTAATTAGTACTAGTGCAGGTGTATAACTAATCAGTAGTGCAGGTGTATAATTAATCAGTAGTGCAGGTGTATAATCACTAATCAGTACTAGTGCAGGTATATAATTATTAATCAGTACTACTGCAGGTGTATAATCTTTAATCAGTACTAGAGCAGGTGTATAATTATTAATAAGTAGTAGTGAAGGTGTATAATCAGTACCAATGCAGGCATATAATCTTTAATCAGTACTAGTGCAGGCGTATAATTATTAATCAGTACTAGTGCTGGTGTATAATCATTAATCAGTATTAGTGCTGGTGTATAATTATTAATCAGTAATGCAGGTGTATAATCACTAATCAGTACTAATGCTGGTATATAATCACTAATCAGTAGTAGTGCAGGTGTATACTGATCATTATTAGTGCAGGTGTATATTAATCAGTACTAATCCAGGTGTATAATCACTACTCAGTACTAATGTACGTGTATATAATCATTAATCAGAGAGGCTTGTTCAAAGACTGGGCCGCGGGGGGCGGTGACCCCCGAGACCCTCTCCAAGTATAAGATAAGATAAGATTTCGTTCGGATTTTTAACCCCGGGGGGTTAGCCACCCAGGATAACCCAAGAAAGTCAGTGCGTCATCGAGGACTGTCTAACTTATTTCCATTGGGGTCCTTAATCTTGTCCCCCAGGATGCGACCCACACCAGTCGACTAACACCCAGGTACCTATTTGCTGCTAGGTGAACAGGACAATAGGTGTAAGGAAACGTGTCGGAATTTCCACCCGCCGGGAATCGAACCCGGGCCCTCCGTGTGTGAAGCGGGAGCTTTAGCCACCAGGCCTGGTGTATAATCATTACCTACCGGTATATATAACACGGTACAATTATAAAAAGAAGCGATGACCCCCTTTTTTATACACATACCAGTACATATTATAAGCACTAAATCCGTAAGAGCCTCAACAGAAATAAATCCCTTAGGATTTATAGAGGGGGTTACCCTATGATAATTGTAATCACCTAAATCTGTGTAACTGTACTTGTGTACTTTTACCTATATAAGCTTGCCTATCTATTTTTAACGATTAGTTATGATTATAATAATTATATTACTAGCACAGGGGGGCAGGTACCGTGACTCGAACCCCCTGCAGAATAAAAAAAAAAAGACGAACACAAGGTCACTAGGGATAACTAAGAGATTAATGGAAAATGATTTACCTGTTCCTTGTTAGGGGAACAGTGTAGAAAAAGACTTATTAAATGTACTCAATCATAGCCATTTTTCACTTTAATTTTTTAGATTCTTAGTAATTCTTTAGAAATGTACATTTTTTTTTATCTTTGTCTGGTATGGAAGCCTGTTAATGTCGGGTCGTGTTCCGCCTTATAAAACCTAACCTAACAGTGACAACTGCTGGAGGAGGTGGGTTTGATACGCGGCAGAGGAAGGGGAACGTGCTGAACGAGATGCATATGAAGTTTCAGCCGGGAAGCTTGATTAATAAGGCTGTATTTGATGATTTACTTGCCAGAGGAAGGTGGAGTTACCTGCGCTGGTGGTGTGGTGGAGGCACTGCGCAGCCGCCGCCGCGCACCAGCATCTCCTCTATAAAGTATTCATTATGACTTAATATTGATCCAGCGCTGGAAGTATTGATGAGAGTAAGACACATTACTGATGTGTGTGTGTGTCCGTGTTCGAAACGTGCGCCCACTGCTCTATCACACCTGCTAATGTACTTTATTTATTTCTAATGCACTTTGTTTCCTTCTAATGTGCTTTATTTCCTTCTAACGTACTTTATTTCCTTCTAATGTACTTTATTTCCTTCTAACGTACTTTATTTCCTTCTAACGTACTTTATTTCCTTCTAATGTGCTTTATTTCCTTCTAACGTACTTTATTTCCTTCTAATGTGCTTTATTTCCTTCTAACGTACTTTATTTCCCTTTTAATGTGCTTTATTTCCTTCTAACGTACTTTATTTCCTTCTAATGTGCTTTATTTCCTTCTAACGTACTTTATTTCCTTCTAACGTACTTTATTTCCTTCTAATGTGCTTTATTTCCTTCTAACGTACTTTATTTCCTTCTAACGTACTTTATTTCCTTCTAATGTACTTTATTTCCTTCTAACGTACTTTATTTCCTTCTAATGTGCTTTATTTCCTTCTAACGTACTTTATTTCCTTCTGTGCTTTATTTCCTTCTAACGTACTTTATTTCCTTCTAACGTACTTTATTTCCTTCTAACGTACTTTATTTCCTTCTAACGTACTTTATTTCCTTCTAACGTACTTTATTTCCTTCTAATGTGCTTTATTTCCTTCTAACGTACTTTATTTCCTTCTAATGTACTTTATTTCCTTCTAACGTACTTTATTTCCTTCTAACGTATTTTATTTCCTTCTAATGTACTTTATTTCCTTCTAACGTACTTTATTTCCTTCTAATGTGCTTTATTTCTTTCTAACGTACTTTATTTCCTTCTAATGTGCTTTATTTCCTTCTAACGTACTTTATTTCCTTCTAACGTACTTTATTTCCCTCTCAATGTGCAACAATTGTTATGTGACTTTTTGGACTCGAGAGAAAAACAATTCTCCTTTTTTTGATTGAATTATCCCGGGTTAATATACTGAACATTTGTGCCCGTGACATGTATGTCCCTCAAAACTATTGTAATAATAATCTTTATTTCTACCAGTACATGTACAAGTTATACAGACCATAGCTGACATCAATGACATACTAATATATAGAAAAAAGCACCTTGTTATGCAGAGCATTTAGGGCAAAAAAAAAAAAAATTGAACTTTTGTGAAACCATCTGTAGACTGTCCTTAATAAAACTTACTGGAATATATAATGTGGACAAATTAGTCAAAGGTTGCTATAAGACCCCAATGGAAATAAGTCACTTTGACTTTTTTTTTTTGGCGGGGGGGGGGGGTTATTCTAGGTAATTTAGATTATTAACATAAGACAGAAGGAACACTGCAACAGGCCTACTGACCCATGCGAAGCAGGTCCATGTCACCCTCCAGCATAGCCCAATGACTTACCTAGTCAGGTTACTTCCACTTAAGGAAGAAGCACGTCATCAGACCTAGTAGCACAAGCTAGTCAGGTTCAACTCACACCCACCTACACCCACTCATGTATTTATTTAACCTATTTTTTAAAACTATGCAACGTTTTAGCTTCTATAACTGTACTGGGGAGTTTGTTCCACTCATCCACAACTCTATTACCAAACCAGTACTTTCCTATATCCTTCCTGAATCTGAATTTTTCCAACTTAAAACCATTGCTGCGAGTCCTGTCTTGGCTGGAAATTTTCAGCACGTTATTTACATCCCCTTTATTTATTCCTGTTTTCCATTTATACACCTCAATCATATATTCCCTAATTCTACGCCTTTCTAGAGAGTGCAGATTCAGGGCCCTTAGTCTATCCTCATAGGGAAGGTTTCTGATACATGGGATCAACTTTGTCATCCTCCTTTGTACATTTTCCAGAGAATTTATATCCATTCTGTAATACGTTGACCAGAACTGTGTAGCATAATCTAAATGAGGCCTAACCAAGGATATGATAATTGTACTTTTGTGTACCTGTGACTAAATGAACTTGCTTACTTTATATTCACAATAGCAAGCTAGAAAGAGGATACATAAACCCTGGTATATAACACAGGATAAATACACAGAGGTATACGTCGCTCAGCGTATATGTATATGCTGAGTTTTTTTTACGTGCAGCCTGACCCTAGTGCAGCAGATGAGATTTAAACCCTGTTCCTAACCTGGTATAAATGCAACAATATAGTCCCAAACTATATATATATATATATATATATATATATATATATATATTATATATATATATATATATATATATATATATATATATATATATATATATATATATATATATATATATATATATATATATATATATATATATATATATATATACATATATATATATATATATATATATATATATATATATATATATATATATATATATATATATATATATATATATATATATATATATATATATATGTCGTGCCGAATAGATAAAAATGGTCAATTAGCAAGAACTCATTTAAGAGTAAGTCCTTTCTAAAAATTTCTCTTATACGTTTATAGATATTTTTTTTCATTTATGCTAATATGAAAATTAATAATTTTGTACCAAAAGACCCCTCAAGGAAGGTTCCATGACCCTGGTGAGGAGTTCTTGATCTAGGGAATTGGATCTGTGCTCCAGTCCCCTGAATTAAGCCTAAATACCTTCCATTCTTCCCCACAGGCGCTGTATAATCCTACGGATTTAGCGCCTCCCCATGATTATAATAATTGCCTTATTCGGCAAGACGAGCGTTGCTATTTAAGCTAAAATAGCAAGTTTTACCTATTCGGCACTACATACTTATTATGCACCCAATACCCATCCTCGCACGAGATGAATTATCCTCTCATACACCATCATACAGGATGGTTTTCCTCTCATACATCATCATACAGGATAGTTTTCCTCTCATACACCATCATACAGGATAGTTTTTCTCTCATACACCATCATACAGGATGGTTTTTCTCTCATACACCATCATACAGGATAGTTTTTCTCTCATACACCATCATACAGGATGATTTTTCTCTCATACACCATCATACAGGATGGTTTTTCTCTCATACACCATCATACAGGATGGTTTTTCTCTCATACACCATCATACAGGATGGTTTTTCTCATACACCATCATACAGGATGGTTTTTCTCTCATACACCATCATACAGGATGGTTTTTCTCATACACCATCATACAGGATGGCTTTTCTCTCATACGCCATCATACAGGATGGCTTTTCTCTCATACAGCATCATACAGGATGGCTTTTCTCTCATACACCATCATACAGGATAGTTTTTCTCTCATACACCATCATACAGGATGGCTTTTCTCTCATACGCCATCATACAGGATGGCTTTTCTCTCATACAGCATCATACAGGATGGCTTTTCTCTCATACACCATCATACAGGATGGCTTTTCTCTCATACACCATCATACAGGATGGTTTTTCTCTCATACACCATCATACAGGATAGTTTTTCTCTCATACACCATCATACAGGATGGCTTTTCTTTCATACGCCATCATACAGGATGGCTTTTCTCTCATACGGCATCATACAGGATGGTTTTTCTCTCATACACCATCATACAGGATGGCTTTTCTCTCATACACCATCATACAGGATGGCTTTTCTCTCATACGCCATCATACAGGATGGCTTTTCTCTCATACACCATCATACAGGATGGCTTTTCTCTCATACGCCATCATACAGGATGGCTTTTCTCTCATACACCATCATACAGGATGGCTTTTCTCTCATACACCATCATACAGGATGGCTTTTCTCTCATACGCCATCATACAGGATGGCTTTTTTCTCATACACCATCATACAGGATGACTTTTCTCATACACCATCATACAGGATGGCTTTTCTCTCATACGCCATCATACAGGATGGCTTTTCTCTCATACACCATCATACAGGATGGCTTTTCTCATACACCATCATACAGGATGGCTTTTCTCTCATACGCCATCATACAGGATGGCTTTTCTCTCATACGGCATCATACAGGATGGTTTTTCTCTCATACACCATCATACAGGATGGCTTTTCTCTTATACACCATCATACAGGATGGCTTTTCTCTCATACGCCATCATACAGGATGGCTTTTCTCTCATACGGCATCATACAGGATGGCTTTTCTCTCATACGCCATCATACAGGATGGCTTTTCTCTCATACACCATCATACAGGATGGCTTTTCTCTCATACACCATCATACAGGATGGCTTTTCTCTCATACGCCATCATACAGAATGGCTTTTCTCTCATACACCATCATACAGGATGGCTTTTCTCTCATACACCATCATACAGGATGGCTTTTCTCTCATACGCCATCATACAGGATGGCTTTTCTCTCATACACCATCATACATGATGGTTTTCCTCTCATACGCCATCATACAGGATGGCTTTTCTCTCATACACCATCATACATGATGGTTTTCCTCTCATACACAATCATACAGGATGCGGTCCTAACACAGGGTATTATGACAGCTGTCAACCTTAGCTAAGTTTATGTTTAGATTTCATAGGTAAATGTAATTTTTTACATTGTTCTTGGGAGCACACACATGCTATGAACACACAAAGAAGTATATTCAATGGTTATAATCAAAACAGCAATTTTTAAAGGAGTGGAGGGGTAAGCCAACAGAAGGCCTCGGTCAGGTGATCAAAAGCTCCAGCCCTGGGTCATCATATGACTAAGACCCGAGTCAGGAAACACCCATGAACACAGATATACTAGTTCTTTATTTAGACCTAATCTAGGATGACACAATAAGATGAAAGAATATGATATTTTCATTGGGGTCTCGAGAGCCTTCAGTATGAAAATCAGGGTATTGTTAGTCATTCCACTATGAGTTCGGTAGTTATTATTATCATTATTATTATTGTTATTAATGTAAGTGTGAGACAGATGCTCTAGTTATAATCACAAAGACAATTTATTTAGGTACAGTACACAGAGGTACAATTATTATATATAATGTAAATTACCTAGGATAATCC